ACCTGTGATGGAAGGAGAGTGTGGGGACCCTCCAGCCCCCCCTGGCTGGTGCTCTCCCGATGAATCTGCTCAGGGATCATCACCTCAAAGGGACAGGCAAGATACCATGTCCCTTCACTGGATCCAGAGTCAACATTCCACTCACAGCCTCAGTAATGGTCATGGATACAGTCACATCAGCAGCTCTTGGGCTTTTCAAGCCGGAGGAAGTGGAGCTTTCAACAGACACAGCCGAGGAAAAAAAAAAAGAAAGGAAAAAAAAAGCAGTCTCAAGTTAAAACCTTTTACAGGCTCCAGCAGGCACCGGTGCTGGCAGAAGCAGAGGGTGTTACCCTGCATCAATCCCAGCATAAAACCTCTGCTGTCAACACCAGCTAAAGAGTCCACAAAAGCTGCCCCACGCACAGCCCTGCCAGCACTCCAGCCAGGCTGGAGGACAGAGGCTGCTTCCATGGCTTTATCTGGCTGGAAAACCCTCCTTAAGATAGGAGCTGCAGGTGCCTGGAGCTGGTTCAGCCCCAGACTGTCATTTGGCCAGACTGGGACAAAGCTCCCCATCTCCCACAGCCTTGGTAGGGAAGGGACTATCTGCTGTCTAATCTAACACAAGCAAAGCTTGTGTCAGCAGACCTGCTTCTCCTTGAGTACACTCCTCAAACCAGAGCACAGGGCAGTCATACAAATCCCCTTTTCACAGGGAAACAGTATGGGCAGTCCCTTCACCACTGATCACATCTCTTCCACCTGCTGTGCTGCTCTCTGCAGGAGTGGGTGCTGGGGTTGGCAGGATTCTTCCCAAACAGAAAGGGCACAGCTAGGCTGCAAGACCAAAGAGAGGAGGCCAAAAAAACCCAAAAACCACAGGGGGGAAGTGCCAGCATTCAGGTGTCCAGGTAGGCCTACAGCAAGGACAGGGAGAAAGCAGCACCTGGATCCTGCTAAGTGATGAATATGGGATGGTGCAACACCCTTCAGCCCTCACCTGTACACAGAGGTGCCACCAGACACAGCTGGACCTGTCGAGCCACCTCAGCTGAGCCACCTCCCTGACAAGCTCTTGCTTTTCACCAGCCCCTGAACAAATCCATGCATGGAGGGGCCATCCATGCAGCCCAGGGGACAGCACACGTACCTGCTGCAGCACCAGGCACCGGCTGCTCCCCGTGCCTCATCATCTCACCTTGCACAGCCTCTGCCTCCTCTTAAAGGCAGCCAGGGGTGGAGCAGAAAAGAGCTGCCCAGGTGGAGCTGGCTTAAAGGGATGTGGGTGACAAAGTTTTGCAGAGAGGGATTGAACCCAAGGCTTTAATCTGACCTTGCAAGCCAGCTGTGATGCCAGGGCAGAGCTCTTCCCTGGATGGCTGGGCAGGGTGCAGCATTTCACACCTTACCCTGTCCTTGCAATAATCCCCATTTCCCCTGGTCTGGCTCGTGTCTCCATGCACTGCCCAGGATTCCTGCAGTGCCAGACTGAGGGGCACACAGCAAAGCAAAGCAAAGCAAAGCAAAGCAAAGCAAAGCCAGCTCTGCGTGTCCCTGCAGCCAGCTCGCCCAGCCTCCCCCCACAGCCAGCACCCCGCCACTTGCTGTGACTGATACAGGGAACCTGGTGCTTTTATTAAAATCTTTGCTTCCTGTTTTAAGCTTAATAATAAATTGCATGTCACATTATGGCTGTGTTTATTAAAACCCATTGGCGTGGGCTCTGCTCTGCAACAGCATTTGAATTATTGAAAGCAACCCCCCATGGAGACCTATTTGCTGCAAACGCAGGAGGATTTATTTCCATTTTGTTTATCAGGCAGTATAAGTGCTGGGTGGAGGCAGGGAAGCCGTCTTGCTGCTTTATTTTCTCTCTGAGCCACTACAGCAGGGAGAAGAGGTGCCATGCAGAAAACTGGGGGGAAAATGCCACCCCCAACAGGGGTGGGGACAGGCTGGGGACAGAAGCCCTGGGTCATTCTGTCTTGAAGGTCTCTCTGGTTCTGGTTGAGTTCTCCATGCATAGTTGCTTTGTGCCTCAGTTTACCTGTTTGCAGAGTGAGGTTTCAGTGCTGCCTCCATCCAGGCATGACCAGTGATCAGCTCAGGCTCAATGAGCCCCTGTCAGAAGCCACTGATCTGCCAGGGCTGATGCCCATGGCAGGGGGGATTGCCAGGGTGGCCATGAGAGGTCTTTACCCATTTGCAGCCCCAGCTCAGCGCAGACACCCAAGGATTGCAGCTGAACCCCTCCAGGCTCTGCCTCAGCCCAGCTCTGCCTGCAGCAGCCATCCAAAGCCAGTGACAAGAGGATGCTGTGGCTCTGGGACCATCCCGAGGGACAGGTCATACTCCTGTCCCTTGTATCACCCCTCCCAGCAAGGCAGAGGTTCTGCAGGGGCAGGGAAAGGGCACGGAGCAGGGACAGGGGCAGGGAAAGGGGCAGGAGGAGCAGGGGCAGGCCCGGCCGGGCGGTGGCACTGTCCCGGAGGTGGCACTGTCCCGGAGGTGGCTCTGTCCCGAAGGTGGCTCTGTCCCGAAGGTGGCTCTGTCCGGGAGGTGGCTCTGTCCCAGAGGTGGCACTGTCCCGGAGGTGGCACTGTCCGGGCGGTGGCTTTGCCGGGAGGTGGCACTGTCCCAGAGGTGGCACTGTCCGGGAGGTGGCACTGTTTAACGGGGAATCCCGGCCCGGCCCGGGCTCGGGGGAGCCGCGGAGGTGCCACAAGCACGGGCAGTGGGTTGAGGGGGTGATTCTGTCCCCATACTCGGCTTTTGTGGGACCCTGCGTGGGTGCCGTGTCCAGCTCTGGAGCTCCCAGCAATAGAAGGATGTGGATGTGCTGGAGGAGTCCTGAGGAGGGCTGTGAAGATGCTCAGAGGCTGGAGACAGGCTGAGAGAGTTGGCTGTGAAGAAGAGTAGGCTGAAGAAGAGAAGTCTCCAGGAACACCTTAAAGCACGTTCCAGAACCTAAAGGGTCTGTAAGACAGCTGGAGAAGGACTTTTGACAAGGGCAGGTAGTGATGGACAAAGGGTGAATGGTTTTAAATGGAAAGAGAGTAAGTTTAGGTCAGATATTTGAAATAAATTCTTTTTTTGTGAGGGTGGTGAGGAGCCAGCAGGGGTTGCCCAGAGAAGTTGTGGACTCCCCAGCCCTGGAAGTGCTCAACACCAGGCTGGGTGGGGCCCAGAGCAACCTGGCCTAGTGGAAGGTGTCCCTGCCCACAGCAGGGGTGTTGAAACTAAGTGACCTCTAAAGTCCCTTCCAACCCAAACTAGGCTGTGATTGCAGGTGCCTCCTGCCCAGGCTCAGACAGGGGCAGGTCCCAGCACCCCCAAGGGCAGGGAAGGACAGGGGCAGCAGGTTTTTGTTACAGGAGTGTATTTACTTGCCAGACTTGGTGGGTTTTCCCTGCAGACCACAAAACCCTGTGGCTGGCAGCTGCTCAGAGGGTGCATCTCCAGGGTCCTCCAGGTGCTGGCAGGACGAGCTGCCCTTTCTTTGTACCCAGGCTCGCAGTGACCTCTGGTGCCCTGGGAAGCACCAGCACCCTGCTCATCCCAGGTGGCCAGGAGGTGTGGGTGCTGTGCCTGGGCCAACAGCCACGGCAACACTTCCCAGTCCAGCTCTCCCATCCCTGACATCAGCCCGACCTCTGGGCTCACCTGAGCAGGTGCTCTGAGTGCACTCAGCTGGGCTGGCAGGAGATGCTCTGCCCCCTCCGCCCCCAGAAAGCAGCTGTGCCAAAGATCTGCCAGCAAAGGGATTTGGTGCTGAATGCATTGTACACCCTCTGAACCCACAGGGCACCAGGTTTGGTCAGGGCCCCGGGACCCTCTGGGTGCCTGGAGCTGGAACAGGATCTGCAGAGCGTCCTTGGGGCAGGGGCTGCAGGAAACATCTGAGCAGCCAGCAGCAGAGGTGACCAAATGTTTTGAGAGCCAACAAATAACCTCAATTAAGCTCTGTGGCAGTGACCGATTCCAGCCGTGCAGCAATATTGGCTTCTTTAATTTTTAAGTGACTGGAAATGGCAAGACTGGGAGCTGGGATGAGGAGACACCAGCCCTCCCTGTGCCCCTGGAGCCACTCTGCTGCCCTTCACCTTGGGGGAGTGCAGCTCAGCTGCTGCCTGAGCCCCAGCCTGCCAGTCAGACAGTGGGATCTGAGTCTGGGACACATAGCCTTTGGTTTGGTTAATTTTGGCCAAGAGCTTTTGCTCAAACTCCCCCCTCTCTCAGTCACCACACCCCCAGTGCTCTTCCTGCCAGGCAGGAGCCACCAGCATTCCCTGCTGGCTCCCTACAGGGTATGAAGGCCCTGGGTGTGAAGCAGAGGGGCCAAGGGCTGAGACCCAAATGCCCAGGCAGGGAGGGCATTGTCCTGCAGAGCACTGGGGAGCCAGGGATGCAGCGTGTGACACATCCAGCACTCTCCAGCCAGACCAAAGCTGCGCCCACACGGGCACGAGCTGGGTCTGTGCCAGCCCAGGCAGGGCAAGGCTGGCCCTGAGGAGGTTGGCATGGCAGCCCTGGCTGGGGGCCAGCCCCGGGCACCGGCAGGGAGCCCAGCAAGCAGCTCTGGAGTGCTGAAGCTCCGGGACGCTCTCGGGTTTCCCCGTGGCAGCCTCAGCCTGAGTGTGGCCCAGTTCCACCAGCTCATTTGTGCGCAAAACAGGAAGGGGATCAGGATGGATAAAAGAAGGCCCAGCTTCTCTGAAGGAATGTTTTACGCCCCAAAAAAAAGCAAAATAAAAGCCAATGGCACACTTCTGTCCCTGGTCCCTCCTGAACACCCTCTGGCTCTGATGGAGCAGACCAGGAGGATTCTGTCATGCTCTGAGATGGAAGGAGAAGCTGAGGCATCAATGGCTTTTACATTTCTCTGGCTGAGAAGGGGTTTTCTGCCAGAAAGGGTAGGCACCCCAGCAGGCAGGGCAGCAGTGCCCCGTCGAGCTGTGGTGCAGGGGGTCAGAACTGGCCCAGCCTCACCGTCTGCAGGAATTTTGCTCTGCTGCCAGTTCCAGACAAATCCCTTTTATTTGCTTGTTCAGGTTTCAGTGCCGTAATTGTGTCATCTGAGCCAGCTCTCAAGAGAAAAAGGAAGAAAAGAAAAGAAAAAACATGTGAAGGAGAGTAGCATGGGACCCAAGCCACCAGCCTTATTGCATCCTGCCTGCTCCTGCCTGGGTCTGGCCAATTCCTTTCTCACGGGGTCTGGCTCTCTGCTGCAGCTCTGGACCTCCCTGGAGCTGGGACTGAGTAACTGGGAGGGGTTTGGTCCATGTGGAGCTTTTGAGTACCAGAAGTCCTGCAAATGCTGCTGCTTTGGGGGATAAAGCACCCCTTGAACGTGAGCTCAGCCCCAGTATGCCCAGAGGAATGGTCCTGACAGCCCTCTCTGGGCAGTGAGCAGCACAGTGCAGTTCTGAGCTTCCTTCCTGTGCTCCCCCAAATGCAAGTTTGCTCTAAATCACCAGCTGTGGGAGGTAGGTGGGATTTTTAAAAAAAATATAATGTTTCCAGTGGAAACTGGAGCATCGCTTTACTTCACCAACTAGGCACAGAGCTGCTCCCACTGGACAGAGCTGTGGTCACCTGGGTGGAGACCCCATTGTCACAGAAGTTAGGACCCCAAGATGAAAATGGGCAGCACTGGGATGGGATTCAAGCGCTTGGGAGTGCAGTGATTGGAGTTGGTGCATCACCACTGCACAGGAGACTGTCTGCTGAGCATCCCCAGCCCCAGGTGGGCTGGGAAGGGCAGGACCCACACCAGGACCAGCTGTGAGCACTGGGATGGGCAGGAGGGCTCCTCAACTCAAGCACCCCACAATGGACAAGGTAGCAGCCACAATGTCTGCACCCTTCCTCACCCCCATAACCATCCCTGTGGATGCAGGACGGTCAGCCAGCCTTGGCTTTGACCACCGTGTATATTTTAAATAACATCGACTGAAATGACAAAGGAAAGCATGAAGTCAGTCAAAGGCATGGAAGGGAAAAATGAAGTCAGTCAAAAAAAGGCCAAAGTGTTTCTGACCACAAGGGTGGTTCAGCTGGAGAAAAGACAGCTCTGAAAGCCACAAGTGCCTGGTTCCTCAAATCACTACTTTTCTGGTTAAAAACAAAACAGAAGAAAAGGGTGTTTTGGCAGCAGGTTCCTCGGGTTCTGGGGAGAAGCTGGGATGTCTCTGTGCTTGGGGGATAAGAGCTGACAGGGACACACTGGTTATCACAGTCAGGTCCCAGCTCTCTGCTCCAGCTTCCCCAGAAATTATTCATACAGGACACAATGCCCCTGCCCTGGCTTCACTCTCCCAGAGGAGGCTGTCTCCATCCCCAGCACCATTCCTCATCACACACAGCACAGCTGTCCCCGCAGTGTCCCGTTGTGTCTCCACTCAGTGCCAGAGGACAGATCCACCCTGCTCCAGGCAGAGCTGTCCCTGATCCCAGCCCTTGCCAACCAGCCAGTATCCCACCCCCCAGCACCTCAAAAGTTGTGTCACCCTGTCCCCCACCCCAAAAACAGGCTGTTGTGCCAGGATTGTTCAGAAAAGGAGTTTTGGGCCGGAGGATGCTCCAGAGATGTCCGATGTCCCCAAGCCCCAGGGAAGGGTGCTGTGGGCAAGGTGATCTCTGCAGCCCAACGTGCCATCTCGGGGCTAGTAGTAGTCCTCCTCACTCTCCCTGTAGTCCTCAGGCGTCGTGCGGGGCTTCAGCAGGGAGAAGTCTGTCAGGTTGAGTTGGTCTGAAATGGCAGCATGGGGACAGTGTGACATTGCCACCCTGCTGTGCCTGTCCCCTTTCCCACCAGGCAGAAACCCAAACCATGCACAGCAGCTTTCTGGGACATCCCCTGCACAGCCCCACGCTCCAGCAGCTCCTGGTGCACTGTGCCCAAACATCCCTTCCCATGTCCCCACGAGAGCAGGGGACAAGGACGTGGTGCTCACCCGGAGTGAGGACGGTCAGGCTGGCCAGTGCCACCACCTCCCCGAGCCTGTTCCTGGCGAAGCAGCGGTACGTGCCCTCGTCCGTCACCCGCACGCCCTGGATCTGGAGCCAGCCTGTCACTTCGTATTTCTGGGGGCCGCCCCTGAACTGCAAGAAGGGAGGATGTCTGTCAGCACTTTCAGCAGGCAGTGAGTTTCCAGGATTGCTCTGGCAGAAACCATCTATTTTCTGTTTATTCTTTATCTCCAGGAATAAATAAGCTTTTCCTGACCCAGCTGGGTTGCAGCTGTGTTTGCAGGCTGCTATTATGGTGTAGTGGCCAGGGGTGGAGGACTGTAGAGTTTCCTCCAGCCAGGCAGGGTAGTCCTGCTTGGGGTGAAGATCCTCAGTCAGACCCTGTGACAAGCTGTGGGGAGGCTTGAAGCACAGAAAGATGGAAGGGGGCCATGGTGCAGGTTCCACCTGCTCCTCTGGCTCCCTCCATCCATCCCACCACAGTTTTCTCCCCATTGGTGGCTGGCTGAGGTGCATGGCCCCTTTGCCCTCTGCCCACACCCTCTAATAGCTGGGTACACCCAGCTGGGTGCTATATTTGGGGCTGGCCACAGACAGGATGCTGAGCCCTGGGCCTGCCAGCTCTGGGAAGGAAGCCCTGCTGATGGGAAGAAAGGCCAGGAACTGCCTGGGTGTGCTTGTAGGAGCAGAGGACAGCCCAGGCTGTGAGGCACTCAGAGATTCTCTCCAGCCCTGCCAGCAGGACTGCAAGTGAAGCCAGCACACACAGCACACTGAAGGCAGGCAAGTGGGAAGCTCTCTGCTGCAGGACTCTGAATAAGTTCAAAAATTACGAGAGGAAATCACAGAAGAGAGCGATGCTGACGGCTCCTACCACTGAGACACCAGCCCTGGCTCAGTCACTCCTCATGGTTTACAGCCTCCAGTCACCCCTTCTCACCCTGAGGCAGCCAGCCTTGGCCATTCCCAGAGCATGACCACTCTCAGCTCTGGTTGTCCGTGAGCTCTGAGAAGCACTGGGTCACCCTGGGGTTGTCCTCAGTGCCCTGGGCACTGCTCACCTGGACAGAGATGTGGGGGTCATCTCCAGGCAGCAGCATCTCTGTGCCATCCTTCCTCCACTCGATGGATGCCATGGGGTAGGCGAAGACCTCGCAGCCGAAGATGACATCCTGCCCGGTGACGTTCCACGTGTCATAGGGAGGAGAGGTGATCCGAGGCTCTGGGGAGGGGGTAGAGCAGAGCAGGGTGGCTCAGAAGAGGTCCCAGCCTTGGCAGGTGCCATGGGCTCTCTTGGGCCGGTCTCTGGAGCAGCAGCATTCACAGAGAGATGCTGGGACCCTTCCCATGTCTGTCTCCTCTCCCTCCCATGGCAGACCCTCACCTTTCCCAAGGACTTGGTCTCTCCTCACAGCTGGGACTGGGAGCTCCCTCCCCAACCCCCCCAGTCCATGGAGGGTTGCCATCCCTGCTGGCCTCAGTTTCCCCGCCTGTGCAATGATGCTCAAGCAACACACACAGCAGGAAGAGTGCAGTGACAGCAATGTTACAAAACAAAGCTCTCCTGAGCAACTGGAGCACGCTCCTCCTGTGGGAGAAAGGCCAAAGGGCATTCATCCAGCCTGGGGCTGGTGAGGATGGATGAGGTAGTTGAGCTTCCAGCCAAGTGAGGCCTCTGCTCTGACACAGGGCTCATGCCAGCAGCGAAGGGAGTCAGCAGGTCCCCATCTCCTGGGTGGAGCCAGCAGCTCCAGGTTCCACATCCCTTCCCTGGAGGGACAGAGTGAGGACCATCCTTCTCACACACACCTGCTCCATGATCTGGCCCATAGTGTGAGCCAGAGCTCAAGGGAAGGTTTCCACCTCCAAATATACCTGGGAAAACAGTCAAGAACAGGATGATCTACAGAAAACAAGGTCAACCTTGACACCCCTCAGGCTGCACTGACATCACTGGGTGACTTGTGCTGGACTGGACAGGATGGGGCACAGCCTTCCTGCTAGGCTGTCCCCTCTCAGCCCCACCTGAGCTTCAAAGGAGAGATGGAAATCACACAGCCAAGCCAAACCAACCCTAGTTTCTATTTGCAGGAGGCAGGCACATTTCTCGGGGGCAACAGGCCAGCGTGAACCCAGCCCTGCCGCCAAGAATTCGCTAACAATTCCCTGGAACTTCCCCATCTGCTCCAGCAGGATTTGTTGCTTCCCATAAACTCCACTCCCTCTTGGCAAAGCTGCTCCCAGATTTCTCCAAGCACTGGATCTGCAAGGGGCTCCCCAGAGCAGCAGGGTGGGGGCACTAGTGGGAACCTGTCACTGCAGGGAGCAGCCCCCAGCGCAGTCCTGTCCCTGGTTTTGCTGCCAGGTGAAACAGTCAAGCCAGACCCCCTTGCGTTCCTCTTCCACAGCTCCAGGGCCACTCACCTGACTCGCAGGGACCCTCATGGGCCACAGTGAGGTTGGCATCGGGGTGAGCATGGGCAGCCTCCAGGAACCTGCAGATCTGGGCGTAGGTTTTGCCGTCAGAGCCGCAGAGGGCCAGGTGGGAGAGGCAGGCACACTGGGGCTCGGGCACCTCTCCGTGACGCAAGTCCCCGGCATCCAGCCGGCACTCCAGGTGCTCCCCACACTTGCCGTAGAAGTGGTTGGTGTTGTCCAGGTCACAGATCTGTCCCTCCAGGTTGGCACACTCCCAGCAGCAGTCACAGGCATCCTGCACCGTGCCTGCCAGGCACCCGCGTGGCACCGGGCACTCCTCGGGCTGGCACTCGGCACAGCCCTCCCCTTCCTCCAGCAGCCGTTGCCAGCCCCGCTGGAGGTAGTCAGAGGTGCTGGGAAAAGCCTGGCCCAGCTGGAGCAGAGCCCAGTGCAAGGCGAGCAGGGAAAGCACGAGGCAAGAGATGCTGAGGGGCTTGGCTTCAGACATCCTCACGGCAGCTCCTCTGTCCAATCCCACTGTCACGTGGATGGAGATTTCTGGCACTGCTCTGGTCTCCCTGTCTAGATCTGAGGAGCCATCCTGGCCTGTGAGGAGGGAGAAAGTGTGTTACTGGTGCAGGAAGGTTCTCCCACTCCTTTGTCTCCTGGCTGGCTTGCTCTGAGCAGCAGCACTGCATGATGTGCAGGGGGTTTGGTCCCAGCCCCTCTCACCCCCAGCCCTGCAGTCACAGCCTTTGCACCCTGGAGCTCCCCAGCCAGCTCCTGCCCTGAGACGCTGAACATCTTCTGGAGAGACGGTGCTGATGACCCCAGCCCATCAGGCTTCATCCTTGTTCCCTTGGCAGCCCTGCATGCAAAGTCCAGCCTCCTGTGACCCCAGCACAGCCTGGAAGCCACAGGGCTGGCAGGGCACTGGACAGGCTGTTCTACAACATTAGGGTTCAGCTCTTTCATACCCTGCTCCTGGTTTCCTGTCAGAAAGTTGCTCTCAAGACCCTTTTCTTTCCCTGTTTGCAAGAGTCACAAACTCTTTTTTTCCTCCCTCACCATCCATACAAGCACAATGGGGTGGCTGATCCTGCAGACAAGGTGCTCTTTCTATGCTGGAGGCAGCCAACGCAGGAGGATGCTCCCAGTCATGCCTGGCTTTTGTTCTCCTTCCCTCCCTGTGCTGCAACCCCTCTTTTTGCCACCTACTTGAAAAAATGCCCACTCCCCAGAAGGTTTTGTGACCCCTCAGTTATCCCACAGGCAACCGAAGCTGAGCATGGAGTCCAGTGCACAGCTGAGCTCCCGGGCTGGCCTGGACTGACAGCAGACCCAGCGTGGCCAGTGGTGCCAGCACAGCAGGGACCCTGCCCTCACACCCCAAGCCTCCATTACCTCCTCAGGGAAGGAAGAAGCTGATCTACTCCGACTGGACTGACAGCAGACCCAGCGCGGCCAGTGTGTGCCAGCACAGCAGGGACCCTGCCCTCAAACCCCAAGCCTCCATTACCTCCTCAGGGAAGGAAGAAGCTGATCTACTCCGGGCTTCCCATCTCTCCCTGGGGGGGAAACGTGGCATCTCAGAGCCTGTCCCAGAGAGGGTGACAGTGAACCAAATCCCTTTGGGAACATCCCTCCCTGCCCCCTGTTATCCCCTGGCTGCCTTCCCTGAGATTATGGTCCTCCACCCCAGGGCAACTCAGCACAAGCGAGCAGGGCTGGGGAGGGGACCCAGGCAGACAGGCTGTCCCCTGCCCTCCCCTCCCGCTGGGAGCAGCACGGCAGGGCAGGCTGCAGCCCCAGCTACACCCCGCGCTCTCGGGGTAACCCTGCCCAGAGCCGGGGACGGCCGGATATTGGGTTACACAGATGCACCCCCCGGATAAAAAACCGTGAGGATTTGACCCCTTTACCACCACCAGGGTGGAAAGGGGCAGAGGGTCCCAGTGCCGGAGCCCGCCCACCCTAGCCCAGCCTGCAGGGAGTAAGGCTCCATCCCCCATGGATGTGGGGGGCCAGAGAAAGGGTAGGGGGAATTGCAAAGTTGCTCTCTGCCTCCGCATGTCCGGGTGCAGGCGCTGGGGGTGCTGGAAGAGCGCTGGGAAGGGGCACGACGTCCCTTGGGGTCCCCCAGGAGCCGCCACTTACCGGAGGCGCCGGTGCCCGCGGTGCGCGGCGGCCGTGGCTGCTGGCCCCGGGGCTGCTGGCCCCCGGCCGCTCCGGCACCGCCGTGATGTCAGCGAAACGTGAGTCCCCCCGCCCCTCTCCGGGCCCGCGGCCCGTCCCTGGAGCGGGACACGGGCTGGCTGGCACCCCTTCCCTGCCGGGGTCCCCACGCTCCGCACCCCGGCCGGGGCTCTGCGGCACCTCCCCGCTGGCATCACCCCGGCCGTGTGCGGGACCTGCGCCGATGCTCCGCCCCCCCGTGGGGCACCAAGGGACTGGGGTCCCCCCCTTTGCAGTCCAAGTTGGCAGCAGTCCTTGGGGACAAGTGAACGGCAGAGGTGGGCACGGCTAAGGAAGCGGTCAAAAGCATCTCTCAGCCTGTAATTTGGTGAGGAAACAGGCTGAAAAGTTGAGCAGCTGCTGTAAGCAAACGGGGGGATAACTCCCGGGAATGTCTGCGCTCACCTCACACCAGGAGCCTGTGAAGGGTGCACTGGGTGTGAACCACGGCCCTGCCCTGGCTGGAGTGGGGCTGTTGGGAGCAATGCTGGGGCTGCTCCATGCCACGGCAGTGCAAAACCCGTGTGCACAGGGCTGGGGCTCCAGACCTTCCCAGCAAGCTGCCTCGCTGCTCCCTGCCTCAGTTTCCCCCTGGAACTGGCGCTAAGGAGAGGGGGAGCCAGCACGCCTCTGCAGCACAAACACACACCGTGCATTTGCATCGTGCTCCGGATGCCGTGCGGGTGGGGGGATCACACAGCCCACTCCTCTCCAGGAAAGGAATTTGTGGGATTTAGTTCCCTGGTGAAGCTCAAGCAAATCAGGACCTCTCTAAGGATCTGGTTTCCTTCACCATGCTGCAAAAATCTGCTTTTGCTTTCCAACACCCTCCTGCAAATTTGTTCTGGGTTCCAGGGCTTTTGCTTGGTCACATTGTGAGTCCAGCCATGTCTAACGAACGGAAAATGCAGCAGCTTCAGCCCCCTTAAATCTGCCTCTGCCGGCCAAACTCCCCTCCCCAGCCCCCTGCTGCAGAGTGGGGTTTCCTGCCAGCTCTGCCTTCAGCCTCACGTCCCACTCCCCCTCTGTGGCCCCCAGCCCCTTGGCTCAGGGCTGCCTCCCCCCTCGGCTCCCCTTGTCCAGCCTATTGAGTGCGGTCCCCACATGCCACAAGCTTTCAGGTCCAGCATCCACGAGCTGCTGAGCAGCTGGGGCTGCAGCTGTCTTGGGAGCAGGGAAAAAGTCAGGAAGGGCTGAGGTTTTCCTACATGCTGGGTCAGAGACTGCAGTGCTGAGCCTCCTGAGCTATCCCTGCCATACCACCCTTCCTGCTATGGGATGAAGGACTGCCTGCATGCTCAGGCATTCCTGCACACCCTCACTTGCCCCTGCTCCACACAGGGGGCAAAGCAGTGAAGCAAGCCTGGCCCCTGTGCCACCTCCTGCTCACAAAGCTCCTGCCAGCAGAGAAACAGAGCCAGCGCTTAAATCCCAGGCACTGCTGAAAATGGACCATCAGTGTTTCAGGCTATTTGTGTTTCTTTCCCCCTGCAAGGGGGAACAGGCCCCATTGCTGCTGTCCTGTCCCACACATGGTTCCTTCTCCCATGTGCCATGGCCCAACACTTGCTGTGTCTTACCTTCATGGGATTAGCACCACCTCTGGGTGGCTGAGCTCACCTGAGCATCACAGCAGCATCAGCCACTAACAGGGGAGAACCCCTGGCCAAAGGTGAAATCCAAACACAGGTCTGAGCAGGAGCAATACAACCCAGCCTCAGAAAGCCAAGGGCAGCTTAGCTCAGCTCAACAAGATGGAGCTCAAACGTGGCAGTTAATTAAAGCTCCTGCTTAATGAGACGATTGAATGTGTTAATAGACAGTAGCAGCTATGAATGAGGGGTGGAAGATCTAACCTGTGCTTAACAAGGATTTCTGCTCAATCACACCTGAAGTCAATCAACACAGCCGTGGCTGCAAATGGGGTTTGTGGCTTATGTTGCTTGACAGCTTTGTGGGGAAAAGGGTGATCACAGCCCTGCATGGCCTGGCACTTGGGTAGATTGCATTCCTGGCTCCCTACCAGTGCTGGCTAGTTATCTGTCATTTTCCTCACTTTTCATGAGCCCAGTGAAGCTCCTGGAACTGGGTTTTGAAGGCTGAGCCTAAAGCACCAAAGTCTTCTCCCTTCCTGGTGGGCTGCTCCTCATCACTGTTTTCTCATCTTGTGATGGTCCCATAGAACTTTGAAGGCTGAGCCTAAAGCACCCAAGTCTCCTCCTCTCTTCCTGGTGGGCTGCTCCTCATCACTGTTTTCTCATCTTGTGATGGTCCCATAGAAGCCTGGAGTCCATGGGTGCTCCTGGCAGGCCCACATCCTTGGCATACATCCATGGCTCTGCCATCAGAATGAAACACATCACATCCAGTCAGGGGTGCCACACTGCTCCTGGCCCCACTGACCCCCTGCAGCTTTGGGCCGACCCCCCAGACACCCCATAGCAATCTGGGGTTTATGGCAGACAGAGCCAAGGGAAAAATCCACTCTGGAAAAAAAAGTCCTGGGCCAAGTGACTCAATGTACATCATGTCAAGCAGAGCTGGCCAGCAGCATTGGGGCTGGGCTGGTGGGGTTGAGAATGTGGGTTATGTCACAGCAGAAGCACGTGTCACCAGAGATCCTGGGACAGAATGCTGCCAGCACGCTGCCTGGGGCATGAGGGGGTGTCCTTCTGGTAATAAACCAAATCTCTCTCATTTCACACCAAATACACTCTCTGCTTCCTGCTGTCTGACAGCCCGAAACAGCCCGGTTCTGGCCAGCCCACCCAAGGCTCAGTGGTTCTGGAGGGTCTCAGCCACATTCCAGGGCTCCACTGTGGGGACAAGGCATGGGCAGCGGGCAGGTCACCCCGCCTGCGTGCCAGGACCGACCCGCTCTAGGAAGCAGCCAGGCTCAGGTTTCTCCAGGCTTTTCCAGACCAAATTCCTCCGAAGAACCAAGCCGTCAGCAAATTCTTGGGGAAGCGGTTGCAGCTGTGTGCAGGGTCACCCGGCCCCGAGGAGGGTGGCCGAATGGCAAGGGACGTCCCGGAGCCCAGGCTGGCCCGGTCCCCGGCAAGAGCCGCGGCTCAGCTCCATCCCAGCAGGAATGCTGCCTGCTGGGATGAGGTTTTCCCACCAGCCCCCATTCCTGCGGGGACAGGATCCGAAAAGACGGCAGGGGTGCATTCCCGGGATGTCCCCGCACTGGCACGACCGTGCCAGCTTTGGCACTGCGGTGCCGGGTGACAGCGGGTTCCGTGACCCGCCCGGGCCCGCGGCAAACCGGGCCCGTGTCCCCGCCCGGCCGCGGGCTGCCCCGGCCCGGGGTCTCTGCTGCCACCTCCAGGGCACTGCTGGCCTCGTCCCCGGCCCCCTGCGGTGGCACTGCCCCTGTGCCCGGGGCTGCGGAGCCTGCAGTAATGCACGGACACCTCAGCGCCGCCGCCCTTATCTGTAAAAGCCCCACCATCAGCGGAGCCGGGGAGCCCCCAAGCAGTGTCATGTCCTGAGGGGCTCGGGCACATCCTCCCGTGGCGGTGGCGTCCTCTGTTCAGCCTGCCCTGGTGCTCAGGGCTGCACGGCCCCCCAGACCGGGTGGGTGCTCCAGAGGGTGCCCCCAGCTCAGCATCACCGTGCCCGCTGTCGCCTGTGCCACCCTCCCGTTCCCCAGCCTGCAGCAGCGCCAGCAGGGCTGGGACGCGGCCAGGGAAGGTGACCCGCTGCCAGCACCCCGGCACCGCTGCCACTGGGGACGGGCACTGGGGAGGGGGAGCCCGCCCGCTCCCCCCTGCAAGAGGCTGCCCGTTTCCAGGCGTCATTAAAGAGCAATTAGCTGGAAATTAAGCTGAGAACAAGTATTGATTAGCTCATTAAGGCTGGGGGAGCCGGCTGAGGCGGTAGGAATTGCTGCTGCTCGCCCTCATTATGGGCAAGGTTAAAGCATGTGGTCGGGCAGCTCATTAAAAATGCCAGGGACCAATCGATGTCCCCAGCTCAGCGCCGCCCAGCACCCCCAGCACCCCTGGGGACATCCAGCTGCTTTCTGGGACTGGCCCTTGACCTCTGCCATGAGCCAGCTCGGGAAGGGACTGAGCATCCTGGCTCCCCTGCAGAGGCAGCAGTGTCCCTTTTGGGCTTGTCGACCCCCCAAAACTCACTGGCCAAGTAAGTTTTCTCTTCCCCAATCAGGGGAATCCACAGGACAGGTTTCTCCTAGCACAGTGAAGAGGCAGAATCTGCACCACTGCTGGCTCCAGGAGAGAGCAGACACCGTGTCTGAGCACCCCAGAACCTGCAATGCTCCAGTACTGAGTTTTTCACGTTGCTGCCTAGCACTGCCAGCTTGTGCAGGTGTGGGACAGACCAAAGGAGATCTCAGGGATGGAATGAAAGCAGGTGACCAATGAAAGACACTCAGTGGCTCTGTGTGGCCGAGTACTGCCACACCACACTGCCCTGTATCCCACCCTCATGGCTCTTGGGGTTAGCCCAGACTCAGCCTGGCCAGACCCATGCAGCTGGACCCAGCCACCCCAAGCATTTGTGTCTCTGGTCCCATGTCCCTCCCATTTCCATCCCTGCCTCTGGTGGCCACCAGCAGCTCAGGGCCAGCTCCCAGACAGCACACACAAGGAGGGTGTCCCTGCAAAGCCGGGTGGTGTGTGTGGGAGGAAGCAGGTGTCATCATTATTTTTGTTTTCTTTACACTGCTCTGGAAATATATTGTATTCTCAGATAATCCCGTTCAATTATACCACAATAAAACACATAATAAAAACGTAATTCATTTTTCCTGAGCGCTCCATCTCCCTGTGTCTTGGCAAGCTATTAAAAATTTGTCTTCATTTTTCTGGCAAGAGCCTTGTACCTTTTCATCTTTAATTTATGAGAGCAGAATAGCTACTGACAAGCCCTTATTGCACGGCAAGGGGCTGCATTATTTATAAGCTGCCAATGGCTGGCTCAGGGGAGATATTTGCAATATTCCGGGGCCAGGAGAAGGAGGGGGACAGATCCCTGATGTGCCTGTCCCAACCCACTCACTTCCCCACCCTGGGCAGGTGCTGGGTGCAGGTG